GAGGGAGGGAGGCTGGGGAAAGGAGCAGAGTGAGGTGAATATTTTTATCTACCAAAAGAGTACGAGTAAATCCTCAGCTGGAGTTAACTTCACTGGAATAACAGGCTGGCTGCTCCCTGAGTGGTGGTCTGCAAACACTCACCGTATCCCCTGTCGTTACTGTAACAGATAACATGACAGAAAATGAGGAAATATTTAAGGATAAAATCCATGAACTGCTCAACGCAGCTGAACGAGACTGGTTTGTCAACCCAAAAGATATATGGACTTTCTTTGGGTCTCTCTTTTTCTGCTGCACCGTGTTCACAACTGTGGGTAAGTTCAGAGGTAAAGTAAACCCCTGCAGAATTAATTGCTATTGCTGCTTTCTCTAATCTATTTCTTCCAGGGAATTTAAAAAACCTCAAACAAACCCCAAAGCCAAATCCCCTGGATTTTTATTCCTGGGTGTTGATGATGAGCCTGCAAGGGGTCCTGCAGACACAGACTGCAGAGATGTAGCTGAGTCACAGAAGCGGGTCAGAATTCAGTGGCTGGTGATGGTACACGCTAATGAGCTGCATCATGACATGCATACTATAGCATGTACTCATATACTCATATATTAAAGGAAAAAGAATGCTCGATCTGTGAACACCTCATAAATCACAACATTCTCTCTCTCTCCCTCCTTTTCCCTTCTCTTCCTCTTTCTTTTTCCTTTTTTGTTCAAGGTTATGGTAATACCTATCCTGTGACACGGATTGGAAAATACCTCTGTATGTTGTATGCTTTGTTTGGCATCCCTCTGATGTTCTTGGTCCTGACAGACATGGGAGACATCCTTGCGACTGTCTTATCCAAGTCTTACAATGAATTCAAAAAACTACAGTCAAAAATTCTAGCCTCTAAACTCTGTTCTGGATCCGCATGTAACAAGGGGGATGAGCTGAAAACCAGAGCACAGTCTAAAGTGGTCATCAGTGAGCCCTTGACTATAATGGAATTGCTGAAAAATCAACCAGGTGTTAAAAGGAAACCAATCAAATATCGCAATGCCGAAATTTTTGAAATGTTAATTGCCAGAGAAAATGAACACACAAAACTAGCAAGAAATAAAAGCATTGAGAGATGGAGTTCGTGTCCCGAACTAGCCAGGGGAAAGACAATGTCTAGAGTAATTGAGAATTTTGACAAAATTGGGAAGCAGTTAGAAAAATTCGATGTGCCCTTTGTGTTAATGGTGCTGGTTATCTTTGTGTACATCTCCTGTGCAGCTGCTATTCTTCCCAACTGGGAAACCAGGTTGGATTTTCAGGAAGCCTTTTATTTCTGCTTTATCACCTTGACAACTATTGGATTTGGAGACACGCAACTGGAACATCCCAAGTTCTTCTTGTTTTTTTCCCTCTATATTATTATTGGCATGGAAATTGTCTTCATTGCTTTTAAGCTGGGCCAAGACCGCTTAATTGGTTTGTATAAAAAGGTGATTTCATTTTGTGGGGAGAAAAAGGTGCCATCAAAGAAGATATATCCAAAATAAGAGCAGTCATTCCTCTTCCATTTGCAAGCACTGGCCACTGTAATGAGATACAACTGTTCCTGTGCATTTGTTCTCCCTGCCTTGGGCTGGCAGGAGGCATTTTTTAATTCTGAATTCCTGTGAGAATCTGCTGTAAATGGCTGGATACCTCAGGAGACACTTGGTGTAGGCATCTCCAGGGAGTAGTTTCCAACAGGGTCCCGTCTCATAAATGATGAAAGAAGATGATACAGGATGAAAAAGCAGAAGGCTCTCCCTGCCAGCGCTCCTGAGGAATCTTCTGCAAAGCTCTGACCTTCGGCAGCTTTTCTGTCCTCTCTCCCACAGCAAGCCAATATAGGTTCTTTTTTTTCCAGCACTGTCTCGTCCTGCCACCTTGCCAGCAGCCAGGGACAGCTTGGTTGTGGCTGCTGGCCCTGAACTGTGACAGCGTGCTGCTGTAATTTATCAGCGTGCTACTGATTTATCACCAGAGAGATGGGGAGCAGAAGAATGAACCCAGCTGCTCTGCCATCATGGCCATGTGTATTGCAAACATTGCCATTTTGTGCAGGCCAGCTGCATTTTACAATTAAAAACTGAAAGACGGAACACTGAATTTTCACCTCTTTCTCTGTATCCTGTCCAGAAATCAGTTACAAAATCTTTTATTTGTTTAGGGCTGAAGCCACTCCTTTTTCACCATCATTTATCGTATCTGTGCTCAGCCCAGAGTCAATGTGTCCCATAGTGTCCAGCTGTGGAAGTGCTTATGACAAGTTCTGCTCTTGAGATGGCCACGTGAGTGAAGGCACGCTGCAAACCTGAAGGTGACTACAACAGTAGACCAAAGCTGCATCTCCTTGCTGTTAAAGAAGCGTGATGTTCTGGGGACACCGGTCCCAGAAGTCCTAATCCAGGCTTTACTCTGCACAGGCTGCTTGACTTCTGGGAGTTCCTTGACCCACTCACAGAAAGAAAAACCTACCCGTTTCACTGGGATGTCATGAGGATCCTGTAGTTATGTATTTGTGGAGAACATTAATATGTGAATAATGCTGTTTCTTCAAGATATTATTCATAATCTGGATCAAGCTATCAATGATAGATAATTTTTTCTGTTGAAAAGCCAACCCCACACTTTATAAAAGAAATCACTGACTTTAATTAATTGTCTCTTGACTTGTAAATTGTATGCATGCGGGCTGAATGTGAAGTCATCTCTAGATATTAAAGCATGCTTGATTATGATGGAATGTACGCTATTCTCCATAGTAAATGTGCCATTTGAAGCTGAGATTTTTAGAATATTTACATGGCATCTTACCTCTCTGTTACATTTACATTCCATGTACATGGTAATGTGTATTCAGTCCTTGCAAATAACTAGTTGTGATTAAGCACTGACAATTTGCAAAATATATAATAAGTGATGGTATATAGAAAAGTCTTTATAAGAATAACAATAAAGAATACAGCAGCTGGAAGGAACTCTGGTTAACTTTCTCATGTTTGCCATGACTTTGGCTTCACATCCAAAGTCCCTCCATTTAGACTATTCTCATATTACTTTATTTTATGTGTTTGGATTAAAATCAGTGTCGAACTTTGGACCCATGCCCAAGTTTTCAGAAATCAATGAAAAGACTCTGATGATTTAATGGGCTTTGGATCAGAGAACTGCACTTCCTGCTCCTCGGGGTTTTTCCTTGTGGTAAGTGTGACTGCCAGCATTAGTAAGAACTGGTCGTTGTATCATCTCATATATCAGTGAGATCTCATTTACAGAGAGGGTTTAATTCTGAATTTATACCCTAGAGATTTCTCACTGATGTGGTACCCTGATACCTTCACTTTTACTTTACGGACTTAGGGAATTTTGGCTGGACCTGCAATAAGCATTCTGCACCAAATCATTCTAGTTATGGCCAAGGGATGGCAGTAAGCACCCCTCCTTCATATAGAACCTGTCAGTTATGGGAAATAAAAATGTATTTTATAGAAGAGGAGAGAACAAGTCACATCACCATGACCTTCTATAAAACGATAGTGCACCTGCTCTTGAATACAATGCGCAGCTCCGGTCCTTCACCTCTCAAATGATATAGCAAAATTGGAAAAAGTTTATAGCCCAGGATAAAGGATGAACAAAGATAGGGAACAACTTCCATACGAGACACATAGAATAGCTCTCCGGTCTGGAAAGAGGTGAGAGATTACAGGGGAGATGGGTAACATTAGAAGGCACGGAGGAGGGAAATAGGGAATGATGGAATGATTGTTAAATGTCTTCTGTTATGAGAGCTAAGGCTGCCAAACAAAATTTGCATGTTGCAGGTTTAAGAAAAGAAACAGAAAGAAGACAAAATGGTACTTCACACAACGTATAATTAAGCTGTAGATACTCCTTGGCATGAGAGGATGTGGCGATTAAAAGTTCACATTAGATCAATGGGAGATGGGACAAAACCATGAAAGAAAAACTTGAAAAACAATTAAATGCAAAGATAGCGCTTCTGGTTCGATAATCACTGAATCCCAAGCTAGTAGATAAGGAGGAAACATCTCTACAGCCTTGCCTGTCCTTGTGTTCTTCCTTTGCAGCCCACATCTCTCAGAAGCAGAATACTGGTCTGCGTGGTCTTGTTCTGACCTGATTTCACTGCCCATAATGCATGAAACAGATTGCTTTGTAGCTACCAAAAGGCTGAGCAAATCTAACTTCTGAAGAGCTATTTAGTTTCACGTTTGTGTGAAAGGTGAACAAACCAGTTCCCAAGATTTCCTGAGCAAGGACACCCTGATTCTGCAAAACATAGCATAAAAATCGTGGTTTGGGCAACACAACTAGCCTGAGGCAAACATAACGTGGTCATTTGCCTTGTATTGTAGACCTAAGGGAGGGTGGAGAGGCAGACACAAGCCCAAATGTCAGGGATAAAGAAGTATTTATGTCTTCTACTCAGGTGCACTGAAAGATTGCTCCCACACAAACAGGAATATCTCCCCTAATTTTATTACTATTACATTTAGGAGCCAGTTTCCCAGATGGCAGAGCAGCACGCAGCAGCCTTGCCCTGACGGTGACAGAGGTGGTTTGGTCTCTATAGCAGGATCTGAATGGAGCTCAGTAAAGACAGCAGCAGAGTTAATGAAAATGAAACAAAGTGGTGTGTAGTGGCTCATTTAGCGAGCCCCATGCATAAATATTTATGAGTTGACTGCTCTTACCGTGGTCTAAATCCTAGAAGAATTCACAGTCTCTGCCCCCAGAAGTTTTTATTCAACAAAACTGACATGGAAATCAGCTTTGTTTGCATCAAAGCGGTACAAAATACTGCTTTTCATAACTTTTTTTTCCTCACGTGCTGCATGAGGTGGTGGATTAGTCGTGAAGGGCTTCATGGAAGAACTTTTCTATCAGGAAAGACGTGACTGATGGGAAAAGAGTTGCTTGAAGTGTAACCCACAAAGGATATGAGTTATTACAGGCCCAGCTGGAGAGCTTTACAGATCAAATGCACTTGGCGCTGAAGGATGCTGGATCAATCACTCCTGATTGGGCCAAGATGGCAGCTGTCACGAGCACTTAGGAGAGGAGAGGAGGGTATTCCTGGTGTGGGAATTGCAGAGGGAGGGATGGAGGAATGAGGGGAAGGGGCAGAAAATAATCTTGGGGCAGAAAGGTTAGAGGGAGAAAAAGACAGCAACAGCAGAGGAAGGAGACATTTTCTGTATAGACATAAATATGGTGAAGAGATGCTTGAGAGACTGCAAATATGGTGAGGGCTGGTGGCCTGGGGAAGCCCACAGTGGGAGACACCTTCTTAGATCAGCACAGTGGTCATGGTTGTTGGGCTCCAGCACAGGTCTCACCATCAGCAGCCACGGAGAGGGTAGAAGAATCTGTGCAAGGAAGCCTCCTGAGAGATAAAGCGATGGCAGAAAGAAGTTACAAGGATTGGACTGAAAAGCCATTAGTAAAACCATCAGAAACATTCCTCTTATCCTCTGCTTTGTCATTTAAAGAACGACAATCCATTCAGAAGCATCTTTTACATGAGCAATACGTCTGAGGACTCAGGAAATTCTTAATGGGATGTGGGACTTGTCATCTGTGTGCCAGTAGTTCAGATGTAGGCCAGATTTTAGCGGGCTCAACGTTAATAACATCTGATAGCACTTTGATGGCCTTTATGCTTTTTCAACTCGTTCCAGGTGGAGATGCACCCACATCACAAAAACACTCTCATATAATGAATGCTAATAGCACGCGTGGTGGCAGGCTCAGCAGAGGCAGGGGCTGAGCCTCCAGCTGAGAGGAGTCCCTGCAGTCCCCTTTGCTTCCAGGTCCCCAGTGTACCTTGTGATCCTGACTTCCAGACCACAGGGTGCATCAAATGGAGCGTGTGTGGCTGTTGCATGCAATCTGAGTGTGTTGTGAACCCAGAATGATGGGAGTTATTATTTCCCCCAGCTCTCACAAATGGAACACTTATTGTAATTTTAATTTTGATTTCTATTTCTGTTTCCATTTCTATTTCTATTTTTTATTTATTTTTATTTTTATTATTTTTATTCTCATTATTATCAATATTTTATTATTACTATCAATATATTATTACTATTAATATATTATCTTCACTATTATTGCTGCTGTTGTTATTAAGCCCCTCCACAGACACCCCCAACAGCCCGTACTCAGCTGTTCTGCCAGGGCCTATTACATTCTAAGAGCAACTGAAAGTGTTTAGTTAGGCCACTTTTCCTTTTATTCCTTACATTAGGCACCACATATATGGTAGAAAAAAATATTTCTCCAGCCATCCAAAATGATAGCCTGCATTACACAAAGAGCAAGGGAGATCAAGTTGCTCTGGATAAATTTCAATTATCTTTGTTAAAGCACACAGGCACAGATGGTGACAGAAATACTAGGAATTTGCTCCATCACTCATAGCAAGTAATAGCTGCGTGAAGACAACAGATCTCTCATATATGAGGCCAACATCTTCAGGGTA